AAATACGAGCTGTCCGCGGCCCTGAGTCAGCCCAGCAGTTGATCCGTCCTTACAGCAATGCAGTCAAGGGATATCTGGGCACATTGGTACGAAGTTTCGCGGGTCGCATGGCGCCGGGAATGATGAGCTAGCTCCACTGGCTGGCTGCTAAGCGTTCAGCCAAGGTGTGTGTGTGTGTGTGTGGTTGTGCAGTACAGTACAATGTGCGACAAGGGGGAAAACAGGCAAGAGAAAATAAGGCCCGCGCAACTCTCTGTTCCTCTCCCTCCCTACGCTGTTCTCTGTCCGCCCGCGCTCACCACCGTATCATCACCTCTATTGACGGAGATGAGACTGGTCGCGCTTCCGATACTTCGACGAACAGCTCCATACACTGCATGCAGTATGCTGTTCGCCCGTGCAGCGTTGCCAGTGCGGAGTGCGGGGTTGCACGCGGAAGGGATTCACGCAGCTGCACACTCGGATCACAGGATGTCTGGCACAAAATAATAATTGATCAATGAACTTGGGTTGCCACCGATATTTTCCTATGGATGAGCAAACCCTTTTCGGATACTTCTGCGTATTTCACGAAAAAATATCATTTCTGAAGTTGGTGAATTTTTATTTTCATTTCCTTCATCTCAGAGGGTTTTTTATTGAACAATACTGAGGAAGAAGGAGAGTTTGAATGAATAGACGATTCTCTATGTTTTTATGTAAATCAATCAAGATATTTGTTGAGGGATGCCTATGACCGATGATACTCCATTCTAAATTCACTCGTTATAACATTTTGAAACTTATCCAAAAACTTTCCAGTAATAATAACTGAGTCCACTATCCAAGATATACTAAATTTGAACTTGTATTGCATGAGAAAATAATCTGTGGATAGAGAAAAGCTGCTCTGCGTCATTGAAAACAAGGTTAGCCTGGGTCTTAAACAAAAATTGATCACTCTCTATAAGATTATTTTCCTTTATAATAACAGGCTTCAAATGAAGAATTTTCACAATTGTTCCAGTTGAAATCTATAAAATTTGCGCATTGTCCAAACCTTTCAGAAGTGACAGCATCTGATGATTCCTAAGTAAACGGTTTGCAGCATTCTTCCAGGAAGTGTGACCTATCCGGGAATAGTGATGGACCCAAAGCGTAGACATGCAGTAAATACTTCTCAGATTATTATGCGGTGTATCATCTCCAAGTCCAATCACATATTCCCATAGACTTCAATGGGAACATTTTTAATGGCTTCCCATGCTCAGCAGAAAGTTGCCAGAAGTCCTCTGAATATTTAATAAAATATTTTCGAAATTAAATTTACGAAGAAAATAACTGTTTTGAACAAATCTAAGCAGAATCTGTCCTATACCATGACCATGAGTTTAAAACAAAACAAAAAATAGTCGAATAACTTGCTGAACTGTACACAGTTGATGGAAACACACAAAAAAAATTTGTAAAATACATTAGTGTGAGTTCCTAATCAGATTGATTTAATCTTACATTCACGGCAGTAGCTCAACTCGCTCAAAAATATCAACATTTTGAGAAATTGTCCAGATGGCAGGTTAAACTTTTCAAGTTTCCCGTGAAATTGTCCAAATTTCGGGGTTTAAGAATGCATGCACCAACCCCGATTCAATCGTTGGCCGAATTAGTGTTCCTGAGCACTCAAAGAGAAGGAAAATACTATTGGAGATTACTTGACGACTCGGGCGTGTAATCTCGCGAGATTGGCAACGCTGGCCGACGATAAGTGCCCTGGGATGAATGCCGCTATAGTTGAGGCAGCCGGAGCCCAGAGAGGGGCTAAAACGCGGCCGGGAACCACCCGGGTAAGTCGCACAGGGTAGCTAGCTCCATGTCGCACTGCATGCCACCGACTGTGCTTCCTGAAATCCATGGCAAGCTGATCCGTGGATGGATAGGTTTCCTCTCCTGACCGCCCACCCCTCTGTTCCTCAGGGCATCGATTCGGCCCTGGCAGTTTCCTGGTCCACTTCTACATAATCCTCCTCTTGTCCTCCGGCTCAGAATTTGCTGGAGGCTGAATACTGCACCAACAACTTGGCAAAGTAACAATTGCGTGATGGAAGAGAGTAGCAAACCCTTTTCTTGCTTGGGTTATTCTTCATGGCATCATTTTGGAAGTGGAATTGAACAATGTATGTCCTGCTCTCAATGCCTTTGTTCTGGATGCTTTAAAAAAATTTGTTTCTGGTTGCTCATTTAATTAACACAGAGCATTTCTGAAATATAAATGTTGGTTTTAACAGCTTTTCAAAAACAGACTTACTTTGACATTCAAAAAATGTTCCATAAAGATTTAAAATGTCTTCATACATTGTTTCTTCTGTGCTGCCTAAGTTGATTGGCCAAGCACACAGTAATTTAATATATTCCAGGATAATAAGTATTGATTTTCTGATGACATTTTGTTTCAACAAAGCCACTGGACCAGTAAATTAGCCTCATTGTTACAAAGAATTTATTTCATTGTTGTGTCCATAGGACAAGGGAAAATACTTCATTGTGTGTGATTATTCAGTATAAAGAGATTTGTTTTAACAAGATTCCACTGTGGTTGAGGACTCTCTCTTCAATAATCTTGCCCAAATTTATTTTCTTTATTTAATGCATTTTCTTGCAGTCCCATAGTGTAGTCTCCCCATGCAATAGGGGTTCTCTAAAATGTTTTTTTTTATGGTCCATTGAGAAAGGGCGCACCTGTACTAACATCAAAAAGGTGAATCAGAGTGATCCAGATATGAGTATAGTACAATATAGTGTATTTAAGCCAAAGCTGAAGGTTGCTGGAAGATGTTTTGGTGAGATGGGTGATTCAAGAGTTGCTCATGAGAGGGCTTGGGCAGGAAAGGAGTTCAAGGCCATTCTGTTTCTCCCCACTTGGGAATTGCTGTCTCATGGAAGGATACCCCATATAGCCTTTAAGATCTTTTGCTCTTGTCTGATGAATTAAAATTGATACAATGCGGAAATGTACAGGATCACTGCAATTATCAACCATGCTTAAATGATTTCAGTAGAGTACTGTCTGAAAGTTCCTGAAGAAACCCAGCGTTTCATAACTTCAATACATTGTACAGTACAGATTTGAATACGGTATCCACGCCAATGGACCTCCAGGTTTGTGAGGAACAGCTGTATTACATAAATTATTTCTTGGATGATTTGTTTATCGACGTTATGTGGATTTCATATGTTAAAATATGAAACTTATGATTATCCAAGGCCAAGTGTTGCACCATCAGCCGCAATATTTTGAGTTCTGAACAAATTCCTCTATGAAGATTTTAATTTCTTCAGTGGCTTAGTTTCCCTCCAGGGCAACAGTTGCCTTCACAAATAGCTTGAGGGTCAATTACACCAACGCTCAAGATTGTGGTTCATGTTATTAGTGTACCGTGTTTCCTTTTGATTGTGATTTTCATGCCAACTGCTTACTTATCTTATATTGGGGGAACTCAATAAAACCTGCGTCCAGTGTGTCAAAATTTTCCATGACGTTTCCAAAGTACTGTACAGTACTTCCTCAACAACGGTAAAAAAAAAAACTTAAAAGAGAAACCTGCTGGACAATAGTAGCATGGGTTGGAATAAAGTTATTTCACTGGTCTGCCATGTAACGTAAAAGATGAAAGCAACTTCATGGGTTAAAAATTGTGTAATTCACAATATAATTTCTGCCTGGAAAAGACCTTTGTTCCAAACCGGGAATTTAAAAGACATTTTACAAGTCTGTGTTTGTAAACAAATTTCACAAGGGAATAAAGAATGGAATTTTCCACAGAATAAATAACTTCTATCCTGTATTTCTATAAAATATTAAAATCCATTCAAACACTTAGAAGGTTGTTCAATTGATGCAAAACATTTTTAGTTAGATTCCAGGAGAGATTACAGGACTGAGTTGTTTTTCATGTCATACTCACCTTCATGTAAGTAAATTTGCGTTCCTCTTCAGAAAAAAGAGAAATACCTAAGCTATGAATGTACATTTGTCTATGGCACGTTTCAAACATTTTTGAAAAAAGAAGAGTGCAATTTGATGCCTGCAATTAAAATTGCACACATATGTCACTCTCTTAACATGAATGCAATTCTGCACTTCCTAAGATTGTACAAGGCCTGATCCAAACTTGACCAAGAAGATCTTTCTTGCTTGGAAAAAGATTTCACAACCAAGCTGTTGTCATCTGAAACAGTTGGCAACTATGCCCCACAAATCATTGTGCTCATACTGGATAACTGAACAATTATCTCAAGTAGATCTGGTTTCCTGGCCCCCCAACCATGTTCTATTCAGCGAAGAATTCAATTTATCCGTGAAAGAGTATCATTTTGAATGAGAGTGAAATTCATTACTAGGTGCTTATAAGAATAGCAACATGTGCTTCAGGATGATTTATTTAAAATTATTTAGGTGAACCTAGAAAATGGCATTGGAACACCAAGTATTTCTGTGTAGAGATTGTAAAATCTGACTAGAAGTACCTGAGAAATATATTAATACCCGATGTCTCCATCTATTGGTTAGCAATTGCGTGATCACGTTTATAGAGGCTTTACCTGCGAACGGCTACTGCTTTCCCATCTCTACATGTTAAAAAATAAATAATTGATGAACAGACACTAGAAGTCTGAACGCGTGTTACGCATTAAAATACTGCCTCAGTGGTGCTGGTTTGACGTGGTCACTGAACATGAGCAGAGCAGTACAGTAGTTGCGCTTCCAGAGGGCGGCGAATAATCCCGATGAAATCCACTGCGGAGCTCAAACCAACGACGTCGTAGCATGAGAAGAAAATCGGGGTCAGCCTCATTTCTCAACAGGCTCAAGGCCAACGTGAGCCCGCAAAAAAAGCAAGTCAAGCGGGTTCTCCAGCAGAGGCTCGCTCCTGATTCATCGACCCAACACTGCTTCAAGGACGCTGCAAAAAATCACACTATTGCCCCACCCGAAAAAACTTCACTACAGAATGAAGACGCCATTTTTTTCATAGAAATCTAGATAATCTTTGTTTTCCGGCCCACAATAAAAATATTCCACCCAGTCAGCCGAGGCACGTCTCCAGAAACAAAAAAAAAGGCCATCTCCGAAAAAAAAAGATTTTTCTTCTCTTCACGCTCCGATCAATTCATCTCCTGTCCTAGAGACTAGAACCACCAACAGAAAAAAAAACCGCCCGAACCGTCAATGAACTCCTTCTGCGTAACCGTACCGAGCGCAGCGAGACATTTTTCTTTTCGCCCCGATGTGAATTCCCGACCGGAATCCACTAAAGCACCTCAGTGTATCTCGGGACGGTTCAACCTCAACGAACAAAAAATAAAAGATGGGTCGTAGGCAACGATGTGAGAGCACAAAGAGCAGCAGCAACAAAACCATTCGCGACAAAAATCTTGCCTAATTGAGATCATGCAGCCCAGAGGTTTTTCTTCTCTAAAACCTCCCCCACCCCTAGGAGGAGAAAAAGAAGGGCGCGCGCGTGGGGGAGAAGCGAAACTGTGTCCAGCCACAGAACAGCCACGGTTACGTTGAGGCGTCGCTAGTCCGGTACTGTAGGATGCGCGCTTTGCTTTTCCCGCCGCATCGCTGTTGCGAACGCGTGCTTGCATGCGTGCGATGCGCTCTGAGACCCGCGTGCGAGCGAGCGAGTTTGCGTGAGACCTCCGAAAGAAAGCCTTTCGGAATCGTCGCGACCCAGTTTCCCCTCACCGTCCCCACCTCAAACTCCCCACAAATGTCCAATTAACGACTGTCCAGGAGAGTTTCATTTTTTCCCGCTATCCTTCCTCCAGAAATAGCCTCTTTCGGCAAACAGGTCGTTCGGTTGTAGCAAGAAACTACAGTTCTGCACGTGAAACCTTCGAGTATTGGTGCAGTAGACGACCTACTGCACCGATGCACAGCCCTGACACAACAAAAATAACGAACATCGTGGCATAGGGAAACGACACAAAGCAGGGAAAGAAACCTATCCAGCAGTTGTGACAACGGAGAAAACATAGTAAAGTGAAAAATTGAAATCTCCCCATACAAGAAATACACGAGGTTGGCCGCCTACCAGGCCAGTGCCAACACCCATTGGTATAGCCAGGTGATGGGACAGAGAGGCGGGAGGGAAGCAAAGACAGACAGAGGGACTACTCTCCCTCGCTCGCTCAGTACCGCACACACATGCGCACACTCCCTCTCCGCTCGCGGTGTTGCGCAACCCTCTCCTTTCCTTCTCCCTCTGAAAAACGGCCCACGCACACCAACACGCATCCTTGCGCGCACAGGACGCACAGGGAAGCAGTTAAGGGGGGCACACATGCGCAGGCGAAACGCAGAGAAACCAACACACCAAGAGAAAGAGTTCAGCAGAAAACACTTCCTTATGCTGGACTCCCTCAAGAGCGGAACACAACCAGAAAAAAATAACGAGAAAACCGATGAATGATTTCCACAAACGGACGGATTCCAGCGTTGCCAAAATGAAATGCGGGGGAAAAGAAAAACCCATTGGTTCCTGAGAAACAACATTGGTCCAAAGAAAAATCGCATCTTTTAAATACCTCCGGTGTCGAAACCTCGCCAAAAATGCGGAAATGCTTGTTTCGAAAAAAAAAAAACTCGAGCAAGTGGAAAATATAAAAATTCCCCTACACACAAGCGCACACACATACAAACGGATGCCCGGAATCGCGAATAATAAAAATTCCACCCACTCAGGAAAAATTCATCATTTCCGCAATCACGTCTGGCAAAAATAAAACAATGATTTCGTTCCACTCGCCATCATCAATTCGTCGGTATTCCTTCCACAATTTTTCTCTTTCTCCATGGGTCCATCAATTGGCAGGAAACATTTGTACGTTTGTAATTTTTTTCGTCTCTTCAACAGGTGGAAAAAACTGCGTTTATCTCCTTTTTTTCTGAAAGGAATTTCTGACATTTTTTCTTCTTCAAAAAAGCCGACATTTTTTGGTTGTTTTCTTTTTGTACGAGTCGCGTTGAACTCTGCATCTGGGGAAACGTGTCTCTCCTCCCTCTTTTCGCGCTTGGTACAACAGTTGTGCTATCTCCTCAACGCTGGCAACCTTATCTGATGTGTACATGAGAAAATAATCCTGAATTTGTGTGCTTCAATATTTTCAGATAAACAACTGTGTTCAACAAATTCCAGGACTTGAGGCCAATCTTTAAAATTTCAAGAATCTGACCACAATCAAACTGCAGAGTCATAAGACCATATACTGCACCACAATCCAACAGCTCAGCTGAATTTCCTTGAAAACACATGTCTTTTCCAGATTTCTTTGATTTCAAACCCCTTGACACGTGAGCGTAAAAAAGGTATTTCCTCAGGTTTTCTCCCCACTTCAGTAACTTCATCCCGGATTCAGCCGAGATCATTAAAAAGAAACCCTAGAGTCAACTATTTTTTTCCATCCATCTTTCAATGCCTTAGGGAAGACGTTAGGAAATTATTCTGCAGCACAGAAAACGCTCCCCCGTGTCGTCACAACTTATTACAATTTCGCAATCCCCAAGTGCCTGCTTCCAGTACTGTACGTTACTTTACCAGGGTAAATTGTAATAAAGAATAAAAGAAAAACGATCACGCCCTCCAGAGCACGTCTCAATCTCAAGAGTTACGTTCAACCTGTCTGCAAGCTCACCAGAGCATGGCATCATGGACTCTAGAGTTTTCACACAGAACACACACACACACACACACAGGGTTGCCAGATGTCGGGAGTCCCAGGTACGGTTGTAGTAGCAGTGTACCGTGTGTTCCCCAAAATTCGACTTTAAGACTTCAGTCCATCACGGACTCGGTCTCATCAAGTTGAACGACAGAGCTTTTCCAGTTTTTTTCTTTCAAATAAATATTACCGAACTGGGCATTAGCATACCATGTTCCGGATGTACCACATGAGCAACTGCCATCTGAGAGGAGTTTGGCACAGGTTAAAAAAAGCTTGCATTAGGTTCTTTTCACATATTCTCCTTCTTGTAACTATCAGAGGCAAGTATTACGAAAGATCTTCATGAAAAACACAATATTGCTGCACAGAAACTGTCCATATTACCACCAGTTGTGCTTGAACCGTTGATTCAACAGCCTCGTTCTCAATATTGGACAAATTACTACCTTGTTCGCCGTCAGGATTTTTCCAATTACGAAATAAGGAACACCGCTATTGCTGAAAAAGCTTAGTTTAGACTGCAATATTCGTCCGTCAACGCCTCAAAATTGCCGCCGTGTTCAGAGCCTCTATTTTTCCGTTAGCTGATTTCATTGGAATTGAATAAATAATGGAAGCTTTAAATTTTCTCGTAGATTGTGAAACTTTCAATACATTCATAAGGATACGTTTTTCGCAGGTAAGTTACACCCGTGTCTTACTCGTTAGGTACCACAGGACAAAGATCCTTCGCTTCAAACCTTTATCCTAATCATCAGACATGACACATTGCCAGCTGTATGGTACTGTACCATCATTCGGTACGACAACCGCCCATGGTATGCATAGTGGTACAGTTATAGCATCAGTGATGGAAAAGCTCTGGTCAACACCCTTGACTGTTGTCGGGGAGTTCAGCTTACGAACACGTCATAATTTTGGGGAAAACACGGTAGAAAGTCACTAGTTCGTGAAACCATCGCGCATGAAAAAAAAGGAAGTAAGAAAGAAAGTGACTTGCGGGGGATGATGCGAATTCCAAGAGTTCCAACCAACAACGCGGAGTAACAAAAAAATCAAAGTAACCTCGCCGTCGTCGCTTTGGAAAGCCGTTCATTGCCATTCAGGTCGTCGTACTTGTGGGTAAGGTTTTCCTTATTCCTTTTTATTTTTTTTCTTCTTCTTCTCGTGTGTTTCATCTCCCCCCTTTTTTTCTTTTTTGGTCTCTCTCTTTACACCGTCATGGCGATCGCTGCTCTGGGTGCGTGATCGTCTCTCCGATGATGGAAGCCCTGCACGCCGCACAAATCCGGCGTCGACATGGACCGTGTCAACGTCGTCCCGCTTTCCTGGTGCTGGAGAGAGGATGATGACGATAGGGAAGACGAGGAAGACACCGACACTGACGATGGCGCTGTCGACACTCCCGTCGCCACAGGAGACTCCGACCGGGCTTTGAATCCGAATATCGACACTAAGTTCGTCAGCGATTGCACACCGGCGTCTGGTTCGGGCAACGTCGTCGTTGTGGTAGTCGCTGCTATCGCTGATGACGATGCGACGACGACCACAGTGTCGCAGTCGACAACATCATCCTCGTTCTCCTCATCGTCATCATCTTCCGATGAAACGCCCGAAAAGTCACTGTCGTCGATGTTGTTGTTGTTGATGTAATTGCTGCTGGAATTGGTCAGGGTATTGTTGGTGTTGGTGGGACAACACCGACGACGAGAGGAAGTATTGCGAGACCGTTTCGGCACAATGGATGAGACGGCTTCTTCTAGCTCGTCTCGAGCTGGTCGCTTGCGCTTGGTGCCAGGTGACGGCAGGGATGACGAGGGTGACAACAGCGACGACGACGCGTCGTTGTTGGTGATATCACACAGGGCGGACTCCTGGCAGCTCACTCGCGTGTCCAGGTCGAAGATCGTCACTCGTTCTTCGGGCTCTTCTGGCTCAAACCTGGCAACGAGAGGGAGAAAAAAATAACACGTTAGTCAACAGAAGTTTCATCAGTTTCCTTTTCCCTCATCATAATTGATGATGAGAAGAAACTGGTGATCCGTGATATGGTACAGTACTTCATCGATATTCTTGAAAAATGCTGACCGACACTGTCGTCACCTAACTTCATACTGTACAAAAATGAGAACTAATCAAATGGGCGGACACCTTGCTTTTCAAAAATCGTGCCAAGAGAAAAAGGTTTCCTTTACACTTTCACTCAAGCAGCTCTAAAAAATCAGCTTTCATATCGCAGCAGATCATTTAGCAGTTCAAAAAGGAGGTTTTTTTTCTAGCCATAGCAAGAATTTACAGTATTAAGTAACAATACCTAACCCACCTCATTTAAGTCTAACTTATCCCGACCAAAATTACAGACGTTAGCCCCAAGAATAACGTAATCTGACACGAACTCACATGTGGATTTGAGTAATTTTACAATGGCGATATTGATGAGGGAGTAAAATGATATGATCCCTAATAAAAAGGAAGATTGGATCTCGACATTATTCAAAAATCTCATTCAATGAAAATCTACGCAAAAGCAAATTATGCGGGAAATGTTACACTTGCTCCAAGAAATCGCAAATCGATCAAAAAAACTCAAGCAACGTGAGAACATGCATTTCATGACGAAAAGACAGAGGTGTTTTCAAAAAACACAGAAGGATCTCAACATAACATCATCACTAGTCTACTTACGGACTAAATATTCCCATCGTTCTCACCAATTTATTTTTCGTTCAAAAGAAGAAATGAGACGGTGAACTTGAGCGTAGTACGACGATTGAGAACGAGTTCCCTTATCAAAGGTTCTGAAGGAAAATATGACCGAATGAGGCGATATTTCCACCGACGTGGTCATTTTTCCCACCACCCATTCGTGTTCACATCAACAAAGATTGTAGAGATTCAGTACTTCAAGGAGTTTCTCAGTTAATACGAATTTACTAATGCAAATACGACGAAAATGAATCAATGACCTGTTTTGATTCTGAGATTTAATTTTGTCAAGAGTCTCAAGACCAAAACTGTCGGATAATTGCTGTCTTGCAGGAATCGTTAACAATATCTTACACGAGTAATCTGCTTACTCGAAAGATCTTAGCTATTGCTACTAGCTGATCATGAATGTTTAACATTTGGGCGGAAGCCTGAGAAAATTATCTTCAACTCCTTGAAGATGCACTCCTTTTTCGGTCAATTCAGCGAAAAAATCATCATGAAAAACTTGGACCAATTAAATGAATACTGTATATACTGTGCTGGTTACTGCAACAGGCCTCATGAAGCTTAGCTTTACAGAACTAAACGACGGCAAAGAAAAATATGCAGTACTTCACAGTACTGTATCATACAGTATAAAATAATTTCGCACGGCAAACCCAATGCGCTCCTGACTAAGCTGCTCTTACAAAATTAACCCAAGCTGATTCGATCTTATGCCGTACTTCTCATTATTTTCTCTCGAACAGACACATCACTCGGAGAGTCAAGGAAGGGATACTTCGATGGAATCTGGAACACTATCGCACAAATTGAAAAAAAAAAGAGACCAGGAAGTAACCACTAGAAAAAACTACGGTATATCAGAAGTCCTTCAGGTGAGATAGTCAAGGATGAAGGAAGCGGGACGACTCGATTCTGTAAAAGTGTATTCTTTTTTTAGAATCGGGAAGTTTCGTTCAGAAGGTTATGCGTGACAGGAAAATTAAATCGACTGAACTGGTACTACCGTACATCAAATGCACATCGTAAAAAATTACCCTGTTGGAGGACTGTCCAATTCAGTTTACAGTATAGTAAATGCACAAAGCTTTCCACACAGGTAAATCATACACAAGAACACTTTTCTAAGAACCGAAGTTTAACCGACTCAAGTCAATTTTTTTTTCCAGCACCCGTCTGAATTCCTCAGACACAACGCATTAAAAACCTCGGGAACTCCAAGGTTTTTCTCTAAGATCTCCTTAGTCGAATTTTCAGAGGCCTTTTGGATTATTTTCTCGACAGAGGGACAAAAAATAAGTAAAAGACAGAATTTGATTTACTGTATTTCGAAAGTACAGTATGTGAGAGATTAAATTGGGTCAATGAACCCCTGCCTCGAAGTTCATCGTTGTGTCAACTCATTTTAGGTCCAGAATATCACCATTTAAAATTTAGTGCAATGCTTCTATGTTTCCCACAACAAAAATGCTTGGTTCCATAACTCAAACATCTATGACAAGTCAAATTTTTTTTACTGGTCCCTTGAAATTCGACTTAGAGGGGTTCAACTGTATCTTAAATTCTTGACGCTGAAAATGTTTGGCTAAAAATTTTTTCCAGGCACCCCATACGGCGAACAACTTGACATAGCAATTTGTATCTAACAAATTTCGTTAATCCTAGCTAAAACATTTCGAAGAACGTTCATGGTTAATCAAACTCGTGTAGATTTCCTCAAGATAAACACCAACAGCCTTAGATATTCAACCCCGTCATTATTTTCAAGTTCATGAGCCCTAATCTCGGCGGAAATGCGCATTTGAAAATATCGCAGCCACTCCATTCGTTTTACCCCATCAGCAATGCCACTTCAAGTTTCAATTAAATGTATCAACTTTCGACAGGTTATGTATAAAAAAAAAAACTCATTCGCAAACCTTTCTTTTATCCCCCTAGGAATCTAAGTTTATTAAAATCTGAAATTCGACTAAAGCTAAGAGATCGAACAAAACTTTGTCAGACGAACAAATGAGTTTTCCCTATTGGTTCCTAGGACTACTTCACTCAAGTCCCCGAAGCATCGTTCTGCGCACAGTTCACGAGATGCATACTAAAAAAGCTTTTCTCGTGCAACTGCGGGAAGTACCAGAATTTACCGCATCGCATTTAAACCGGTAACCATGACACCAAATATATTCCATGAAGAGTACTGCAACTGGAGTTCGGCAGCGCAATAAAACCTCGAAGAGGTTTCAGGGTGGAGAATAATACCTGTAAGGAGATCTTACCTCTCCACTGGAACTTAGTTCAGGGACAAGGCGGAGACAATTTTCAAAAATTCAAGAACATCAAAACTTTTATTCACACTACAATATACTTTTATTTATCATTCAATGAACGGATAACCCCTCCACAAATGTTTCATAACCAGCGGCTGTCTACAACCATTCAAATCTACGCTCAAAAGTACTGTTCTCTAAAGATTTTTAAACAACGTCAATTACTTGGCATGCGCAACATTTTTAGATAAACCGAATAACTCTTACAATAACATAACGTCTTTTACACGGAAGCCAGAAAACCAAATCGAATGCGCCCGAACGTTACTCTCAGATCAGGGTTCGCAGACGGGTAAAAAAATTCATCAGTTTCCGCAAGAAAGAACCGTTAAATCTGATGAGTTCGGTACTTGAAAAGACACGTAAAAGTTCGCAGATTCAGAAATCAACACACTCGAAACCAGAAACTTGACCTTCAGAACAATTCAAGAATACAGATCGCGTTACAGCACATGTTTGATCTTGTTGAGAGAAAGAGACAACGCAGCGCCAGAGGCTTATCTTTGGATTTCCAAAAAAAAAAAAAGAAGTTCCAATCTGATGCCTAAAAATACAGATAAGACAAAAGAATGTGAAAGAAAACAGCCATCAACGTTCACAACTTGACACTAACTTGAGATATTCTAGTCATTGGACTGAGGAGTCCATATTTTAGAAATACGACTAATTTGAAATCGTTACGTTTATTCATCAGAACTCCAACACAATTTTTGACAACGAAGGCAGGGTGAAAATCAAGACTGACGATCAGAAAGATAGGCGGACTCGGGATGTGAAATAATGTGCGATACAGTACTGGTACTTGAGGAATACGGGTCAAAATACTCGGAGTATTACCTAGCAAAATAATGCTTTGAACAATACTTTCCCCAAAAATTTCAGGTCAGAAGAATCCAAAATTACCTTGGATTACGACGTCAATTTTCACATACGAACGTAAAATACGATACAGTACTGTACGGTACAGATAGCTTCCCTTCCGTTCACCAGACAACGCCAGCACTCAGAAGCATTTTTATTGCTAAAAATATAAAAAATAAACGCCATCAAAGAGGCCAAAATTAACTAGTGAATACATTAAACGAGACTATAACTTTGTTACGTGAGCCATGCACCAGGACTTCGATTCATTCCAGGAAATGTTACAGACCTACAGAGTTGAATGAACTCTTGGTCGGGAAATTCCAAGCAACTTAAAAACGAATACTACGCATCTTTGAATACTGAGGTTCCGCACATGTCTCAGTAAGACAGGCGTTAACAGTAATGGAACCCATGAAAAATTGTGCAAGAAAAACTCAATCTTTTTTTGAACATAACTCTGAAAATCACGGACAGTTCCTTGAAGATTAAGAAGTGTGTAATGGAAACTATAGAAGAGAAAAAAGGATAAATGCAGAACACGTTATCGTTACTCAGCAGCATCCTTCACGGAATACCTCTCACTGAGTCATGGTTTCAATGAACCCGCCAGAAACGTGTACCACAATATGACATTGCAACTAACGGAATAAGTTTCATATCGAATGAGGTGACACACCTCTAATATTAGAACAAAAAACCAATGGAGCATACGAGGAACAAAAGCGTCGAGAACATATGGAGTAGTGTATATTCAACTTCTACTCACGATTCAAACTCAAGTTACGGAGTTTCGCCGGAAAGAAAATCATTCTACATTACTGAACATATATTTCTGATCAAAAATCGACCAACTCACCCGAATCGGTGTCTCGAGAAAGAGTCCATGCAGGGGATGTCTTTGTTGCCCTGGGAGTCGTGGGCCGGTGGGTCGGGAAAATGACCGAATGCAGGTTCGGGTAAACACGGCTGACATCTCAACGAGTCCACCATTCTAAGAGTCTCTTCCATGAAGGCGCTGCGGGCCTTGTGGAGCACAGTGGCCACAAGGAGGCTGTGGTGCAGCTTCATGCCACCACGCTGGGCACGGGCCTGCGCAATCTTGCCCAACGACACGGACATGAGGTGACGAGCGTCGGCCGTCATGGTGTGTCCTCACAACGAACAACACGCACTAGAAACAAAACAAAATCTGCGTTCACTTCCTCGCTTCTTTTTTTCCTCCCCCTGGGAACCAAGGGATCGTCTTCTCAACAACAATTGAATCCTCGACACTTTTTCGGTGCTTGTCCCCCCTCTACCTCGCCCTCTCGATTCAACTTCGGAAACCTGAGCAACATCAGAATCATGTACATGAACATTCGAAACAATAAGTAATCAACAGTGCAAATCACTTCCCGACGCTACGGAATCTGCAGGGATTCAGCACATATCCAACCCAACGAACTCACAATAGCAGAAATCAAATAATCCAATATGTGAATCACATAGTCCATCACCAAGCGCCTTTCACACAACCTTGCCGACAGATTTTATCTCACAACTCACGTAAGGTTACTAAATAAAACTATTCCAAATATTTACGTTTTAAAACCTCTGTTGAACATAGATCGCCATCTACTCCTGTAGCAATAATGTATCCAGATAATCTGGGATCCCGGATCACTTCTGAATTCAATAGAGAGCGCAATTCGCGATTTGGTACATTACGTCACACATCTGAGAAGGAACTACAGTATTCCAATGACGGAAGTGCTTCTGAGGCTCTTATTTGAAATCTTGGGCTACGAGTTTACCCAAAACCGAATTCAATCAATCTTCACTGTACGTCACGCGCGCATTAACGAAGAGAGAAGCTAAGGAGTTCTCATGTCCGGTGAAACTTTTCATCGACTCAAGAGAATTCTGAATGGAAGACCGTAGGGAAAAGTCCTCTACACTGCTTTTCATTCTGGTGAAGTTCGAACTCAGAGTTGGTCCATTTCAAATGCTCACACATGAAGGAAAATTCGAACAAGTGCAGTTGAAGATGTTCATAATGATTTACACTAGTACTCAATTAAAGTGAACTTTCAGATTGAAATTTCGAGAAAGCTGATACGTCAATACCTCCATTGAACGTTGTGCGCCCATGCCCATATAATTCAACAACGAAATTGATCATGCAAGAGGACACCACAATTCGGTCCAAGAAATGTCAGTAAGCTTAGTTGGACAATAACTTTCGCTACGAGCACAAGAAATTCGAACACGACTCTTCGATCATTCACGGAACACCCCGAAAAAATTAAAAAAAAAACCGCGAAAAGTTAATCGTCGAGTTTTCTGCACGGCCATAAATTCTGCATTTCATTTCGAAATAATGAGATTTCACAAAATGAACCACTCACGACGACAGGTATTACTACTCAGCCATCCCGATCAATACGACTGCACTCGGCCGCGCCCAAAGCGGAACTGAGCTACGCGCGGCGGGTTACCCGCCCTCCAACACTGCTCCCGTACGAGCGAGCAGATTAGTGCAGAAACAGAAGCTTCGCGCCTCGTCCACGCGTTTTAGAAAGACAGCGGGCGCGGGTCCGCGACTCCTCGTGAAAGTGCTGCGGATCTCGATTCACCGGGGGTGAGGAAGAGATGGTGATGGTGTTGGCGAGGGGGGGGGGGGGGGGGGGAAGCTAGCAACGCGCAGTCGGTTAGTAAGTATGAGCACAAGTTAAAGTAAAGTAGCCGACCAGCCAGTAACTCTCTATATCTCTCCCTCTCTCCGAGTGTGTACATGCGTGTGTTCCTTCATAGTCCTTGCTTGCTTCACTTGCTCCTTGCGCTCTCTTCTTCCTTCCTGCCTTCGCCCCTTCTGTCTGTTCTCTCGCTTCGCTCGCTGCGTGCGTCTCGTTGTGTCTTGCTTGCGCTCTTCGCGGCGAGTTCCGCAGGTGAGCTCGTCACCAATAAATTTGAGCCGCCTCGCCCTCCCCCCCCCTTTCCCCCGAACACCATGAAATCTTTCTGCTAGCTGATGGTGGGCAGGTACTGGATGATGAAGTACCGCGAGAACAAGAGGCGAGCAAGCGGCTGCGACTCCCGATTTCATACTCGATTCGTTCCTGAACGTCTCACATTCGTTTCCGTTCTACCGATACCCAGGTGTCAGTTTTGAGTAGCATTCTGGAATAAATTGAGGGGAATATAGACAGGCTTCTTTTTTTCTTGATTTTTGGTTTCTTTCAAAAGCTCAGGAACAAAATTTTGATCTCAACTGCAACTGAAAAATTTTACAAAAACGACAGATCGTTTTTTTCGTAATTATTCTTTTAAAATGCATTTTCCTGCAGCTCGTAGCAGGTATTAGATGATACAGGAACATGCCTGGATTTTCGTAATTACTCTCTGGTACAACCGAGCAATTCTTCCTAGTATCCTCGACCACAAGCAATGGTTTGGATGTTTTGGTCTGTAATTTGAAATTCGATATATTTGTTTGTTTCTGAGCTGAAATGTTTTGATATTAATACTGGAACAAGACTTGAGTCAAGCTATTACAGGGGGACTCTTTCTACCACAATCATGATTAAAACAATATTCTCAGCATAAAAATGTTTGTCCAGTCCAACAGTCCTCTCTATCCACATTAAAAGGGTTCTATATAACAAAATTATATCTGCATTGATTATTTTCTGGCTCCTTGCATATTGTTGTAGAGAGAGACCACCTGCATTCATTGCTAAAAGTATTCCTCAATTTCAGGAGTAATATACTCCTTGCTTTGACAAACTCTCCATTCACATTGAATGGAAAATTTTGCATTTAGCATCAAAATCACAAAAAGCCTCTCATAACATTTTCCCTTGCATCAGTTCCACTGTTGAACATTTCCTGGAAGATATTTTCAATTATTTGAAAACTGTAGCAACACAAAGATTACTTGCAAGTAAAGCATTCAAATTTTGCAGAATTGTGAAAAGCAAACTATATGAAGCTCCCATCTCTATGCAGTATGCTGAAAACATTTAATTTCAAGTCTCCATTTAAAGCAGGTTGATCAATAATGTGAGCAGGAGTTTGACAATCCAATGCAATCAAAAACGTATGTCCATGTCCATCAATCCAGTAAGTAATGAAGCAATTGAACCCATCATGTGTTGGCGTCAGTGCCATCAATCCGACCCAGGACAAATTTCAGATAACAACGGCTTGAAAATGATTCTTTATGATTATCCAAGTTTTTCACTGAAAGTCCTCTGTTAGGCACCCAGGATAATCAACCTCTTCAGGTATTCATCGTCCCTGGGGAATCTCGCGGGATACCTTCGAAGGATCCATTTGAATCGAAGAAACTTCACGGACCAGTGGTCGATTTTGTCTCTCCTTCAGCCTGCAGGCCAAAAAAGGAGAGGAAAAAAAAAAGATATCTTCTCCAGCGTTTGGTGTGGGATTTTTGTGACCAAAGGCGGACTCTCGGTCTCTCTCCTTTTCTCCCTTCGCCTTTTTTCTCCAGGTCCCGGTTGCAGCGAGCGTAACGGTGCGTTCATGCTTCCGACTCGTCCGCGTCAGGCCTCTCAAGTGCGGCTTTTCCGTGAGCCAGCGTTGAAGCCCCACAACTGAGGCTTGACGAGGTGCTCATATATCTTCGTTCACCCACTTAGAGGACCGGAAAAACCGAGCCACTAACCATTCTCTCACTCACTGCTGGGAGACGAAAAAAAAGAAAAAAAGAAGGCATCCTAATACTGCAACCGGCATTTGAACCAGTGATGCGCGAATCACCATGATGGTGTGGCAGGACCGCAGGACACAGTAAGTGAAATGGCGTCCTGGTCATCCAAGGAACTCTTGCAAACCATGGGCTCAGGACCAGTGATAGTGGTGTATGGTGCTTAGGAACGACGTTGAAGCACATTTTATGATCTTCTGAAAACATCCATGTTCAGAAGATTAATGGCCCACACAGCATGGCATGTGAAGTAAACCTAATCGTTTCCTTCTTCCCTTTTTTTTTGTTTAATCCCACAGGTGGCTGGTCAAGTTTCATCTGAGGAAGTTGATTTCAATGGGATGTCTACCAAATCCAAATGAGTGAGTTTGAAGTTAGAAATGGGTATATTATATTCACTTGAGGCCCATGCACTCTCATGTAAGGCACACATTTCAGTTTCTGTGACTCTAAGACTGCAATACAGTCATACTTCTCCAAGTCAAATTTCAAGCAACCATTAGAAATGAATTAAGTTGGGGAGATTTTGAGTAAAAGAAACAACATTTTTTGTTGTGGGAAACATAGAAGAATTGCAGGAAATTATACATGGTGATATTTTGCGATGTAAATTGCTTCTCAAATCAGCTGACAGGATGCTGAACTTCGGGTCAGAGATTCATTTGCCCAATTACTCTTTCCCTTCCTTTCAAAACACATCAAGTCACTTTTTATTGATTATCTCTTTCCTGTGTCAAGAAATAACTACCCAAATGCCATGGAAAATTTGTGGTAAGGGAGTTTGAACATCTCTAAATTATAAATGTTTTTAATGCATTGTTTTTAAGCAAATTCAAACAGGGACTTGAGAAAATTAACTCAGGGTGGTATTTGACTTTGGGAGGTTCCAATAATCAATTTTCAACTGTAATTTTAAATTATTTCCATTACAACTTGTTCTTCTTTTAACAGTTGCCCAAAATTGCCTGATTAGAATCAAATGTAATTCACACCTAAACTTCTAAGACTTTTTTGAAATTTATTCCCACGCATGTGACAAGCATCCCTTTCTTTCCTTTCAATTTTGGGTGCAATGTGTTCTTGGTACTCAAGTAAATAAACAGTACAGTAACAGGCAAAGATTATCAGTTATTACAAGAGTTGAATGCAGAGGTAAAAGTCTTTCAGCAATATGGTGTAGCTAACATTGCTGATGAGGGACTGACCAAGAAGATCAGCTATGGTGTGCTTCTCATTTCTGAGTGGGGAAGAAAGAGATTCTTTAACTGAGAGAGCTTCATTGAGAAATTCTCAGTGATGTAGACAATCAGGGATGGCATTGCGTCCATTCTTCCTGGTTTCAAACAAGTTTACATTTTAGAAGCTAGATTAGATCTGAAATTATGCCACAAAGATATAGTCCAAACACTCTGGAAAATTTGACTATATGGAGATTAGTTTGTGATTAGCTTTGAGCTGGTGGATAAATTCTGAAAATTCTAGGCCTTCGAGAATTTGGCCAGAGATTGGGCAGTACGATAGAATTTGACAAAAGGAGGATTTCAACTTGGGAAAATTAGACTCAGGAAAGTCCCACTACTTTCGGTCATCCCCATGTGGTCCGCAAACATGTCCATGTTCTGA